GGGGGGGGGGTTATTTAAGTAACATGAAGTAATTACTTTGCTTACGATAGAATTAGAAAACTCTTTCTCCTTTAACTCTAGCAAGATCCGTCTGTGCCGGTGAAAAGTTTGATTACAGGCAGCACACTTTGGATAGTAAACAGAATACAGAATACATGGGGGTGGTTGGCGGGTGCTCTGGTGTGGTTTGCTCCTTCTTTCCTATCAAACATCTATCGTCCTTATCTCCCCTCTTTCTTTTTTATGTTTGTTGCTCTCTTGTAACACCTCTAATCTTCTGGCGCTCATATGACCTTATGCAGTTGAGAGCGCCGTAAAACCTCCACTAAAACTAAACAGTATACATGATGTCCTGTATTACTCTTATTGAACAACCATGGCTCTACATTTTATTCCTTCGGACGATGCACACCAAGGAGTTTAGAACTACAAGCGGATTCATTAGCCTGAGTCGTGGCCAGACAAATTTCCCTTTGTTGAGAGCAAGATCTGCCATGTTGGCAAAATACAACCGATTCGTCTTGCAACGGTGAAAAACAAACTGTCGCTAGGCTGTTAATACGTTATAAGCTCAAAAAACAAAAGAGCCCAACCCCCCCCCAAAAAAAAACAAAAAAACAACCCCAACCCAACAAACAAACAAAACATCAGCAACAAAAAAACTCAGGGGAGAGAAAAAAAACTGTTTCTTTCTTTTGACAATTAAAACTAATAATTTATGTTTTTTTGCATGTCTTTTTCAACATAAAGGATTAGAATTTTTAGAAATATTCCTTGAGCACATGCAACCAATACCACAGCTTAAAAAATTGCAATCAACCGTCCCCGCGGTTTCATGCACCCCACTTACTTTAGCAAAATTTGATAACTTTTTGCATAATTTCTAATTATTTTTCTTTATCATTCTTTGTTAAAATTAACAGAATCGCATAATTTCCATAATTTAACATTTTTGGGCTCAGTTTACTTAATTTCAGATTTTTTTGTTGCATAAAACCACGGGGACAGAAATAAAGAAATGATCTTGGGTTTAGAACATTAATTGAACATTTGACCTACGAAACGCGTTTGATTTTGAGGGTCACTGTCGAGGTAAGCTGAAATCGGTCGTGTTGTGCCAGAATTGCAACTTTTGCCCATTCATGAAGGAAAATCTGGCCTGATCTAGTTTAGTTAGTATTGGAACGTATTACTATAGGTCCTGCCTGGCCTGAGAAAGCCAAGTGCCTGGCCCAAACCGACGAATCAACAACTCAAATCGGCAGACGGCAGTGTGCACTCGGTATAACCACAACCAACACTATCCCCCTGAGCCCTCCTCTCTCCCCCGCCCCAGACTCC